TTCATTCCCCAGCTACCATGCACAGTCCTCTGTGCAGTCCCTGGCTAGCAGAGTGATTTTTAGGTTAATTCTTAGGTCCTACCACCACTCGGGAATCTCCAAGCTGTCTGTCGCTGCCAGACCGCAGCTCCGTGTGTCTCCTTTTTTGGTATTTTCACGCAAATTCTTCTGCTAGTTGGGGTGTAGTCCACTTTTGTATCTTTCCCTTCAAGACTCAGGGGTCCAAGATTATCTTCTGTGTCTGTTAATTGGTTTCCCTTTTCTTTGTTGAAGAGGGTCTGTACAGTCCTTCTGCCTAGTCCACCATCTTGCCGGAACTGATGTTAAATTTTTTTAACATTAGTCATGGAGGTCATGTCTTCTTGAGTATCTCCTTTGTTCCCTTGACTGATGGGTGGAGTATGTATCAGCAAATATTTACACATAATCATAGAGGATCACTTCTGCAGAAATTTCAACATACTTACTGTAAATCCTTTCCTCTCCCTAATCTTATACTGAAAGAGTGGTGTGTTACTGGCCGTGTTCACAAATGTGGGGGACACCTTGCTTCATCACCTTTGGCAACTCCTATGTATCATCAGAAGCACTGGCAGAGTCTGGTTTTTGAAACTTATTAATTGCATAACCTGGGCAAGGCATTTACCTTCTCAATTTCCGTCCTGAAAAATGAAGACAATAACTTCCTCACTGACTGGGTGAGGTTCAAATACAATAATGTACGTGAAAGCACTTTGTGAACAGCAAAGTATTAGAAAATATCAAGGTGTATTTTTAGGTACTCACTGCAAAAAGTTTACCTGGTTAACCAATATCATCAGCAATTGGAGGAAAAGACAAAAATTGGTAACATGTATCGAACACCTTGATTATCTGTTTATTTATTTTTTGGTGGTGTGTTGTTCTTTCTTCAAGTGCCATCTAGTCAACTCCAACTCATGGAGACCCCCTGTGTGTCAGAGTAGAACTGTCCTTACATGTCCAGAGCCCACACCTGCCTGAATGTCCTTGTGTGAACCTTGCTCTCCTCTCTCCTTTCTCTTACTTCCTTGAAAGTACTCCAGATCAATGCATAGATGGGCTAGAGAAGTAAGAGGTCAGATCCATTCCAGACCTATTCAATCCAAATTGCCAAAGGTGGGAACTATATCTTTACAGAGTTTGACAGGTAATTTTCTTGGCTAAGAACCACCAGTTTAAGGGAACATCAAACAAGTCAAATTAGTATGCACTTTAAGATTCCAGTATTGTATAGTATATTTTAGGAAAATTTCCAGAAAGAAGCTACTCAAAATGTTAAGTTCCAAGTAGCATCTGAAAACCAATCACTGATCTTGAACATTAATATCATGAAAGCCAAAATAGACACAATTTTACGGTATTAAAGTTCCCAGAAAGTAATGTATTCATGTTTAACTTATTTTAAACTTTCACCCAATTAAATTTTAACATATAGCTATGGTATTTTATTTTGTTCCTTTAAAGGATAATTTAGTAAACAAAGAATGGTTTATGAACAATGAGCACTTAAAAAAAATAAACAATGAATAATTAAAATTTTATTTTGTTTATTTAATTACTAACAGGTAGTGTGATTGACAACTTGTCATTGATTTGTGTCTTTGTGTATACGTGATCACCCCAATACTTATCTTCTAGGATATTTAACATTTTTTTCTTCCATTAATTAAATATGTGAGCTATCTGGTTTCCCAGTTTCCAAGTTCTTCCCTATCCAAATTGTCTTTCTCACAACTGATGGATCAATTTCCTTGTTCTGTTTCTTGGCACACATTCCTTTCATGCAGAGAATTCTCTGTGGCTTCAGGATAGATCTGGTCATTCAGGGTTTTAATAATTGGATCCCTGTCTTTCTCTTTGACGTTAGGGTTTACTTTCCTCTCTGCTAATCTTCAGCTGTAGCCAATGTTGTATATTTTAACAACTCACTCCCTGAAAAAGTTAAAAAAAATGCTTTGTGGCATTTGCTAATTCTCATGGTGTAAATATTCTCACTATAACCATTTTTAAGAATGAATATAACCACTGCTGACTAATTTTCTGGCAATTTAACAACTTATGCACCACTGGCTCTAGCTCACCACTGGTCTAACCAAACTTGAGTAGGAAAACAAGCTACCTAAACATATCACACACATTCCTGTCTCAGAGTGAACCTTTACTCCTTCAATTTCCACTTTCCACAATGTCTCTGTTATACAGCCCCTTGGGAGAAATTCTTTACTACTCCTTCTTGTGTTAAGTTATGTTCCACTCTGGGAAGCAGACCAATCCAACTTTTCTTTCTCAGATCTCCTGAGCACTTACTTGTTCCCCATGAGTCAGTTACCTTCTCTCTAATATACTGACTCATCTTTTTATGTTTAAGATATGCTCAGTTTCACCATTACCTTTTAAGCTTCTTGATGAAAGCATGTGATTTATACATCTGTTGTTCCTGATTTAATAGCCACAGCAATAGACTCAAACAGAAAATGATCATGAAGATAGTATAGCACGGGACAGTGTATTGATCTGTTAAATGTAAGTTTGCCAGAGTCAGAGGCAACTTCAGGGCAAATAACAACCAGTTCCTGAACAGTTTGCATGTAATTGGACTCAATGAATCCTTATTAATGATGATACTTCATTGAGGATACATTTGATTATTGAAACCCAAATCTTAGACCACCTAGAATCACCCTAGTCTTTATTACATATAAAGTAGCTGTTCGCTTCCATCCTGCCTCTTCTTCCCTCTCAAAAGAGCTGCTTGATCAACAACTATATCTAGGATGGTTTCAGAATCATTAGTCTGCTTATAATGTGTATTTTAATAAAGTCGACAGTACTTTTTCCACTTTTCTTTTCTTTAGGTCTTAGAAGATGGGCGTTTGGTAAACAAGAATGGAGTATCTGACCCTATCCTAACAGTGTCACTGTTTGGGAGGTGGTACACGAAGGACTCAGGTGTAATCATCAATTCACCAAAACTACTGATATCCACCTTGTTAATAATCACAGCTTTGCAAAATACTGTGATGACATAAGACATCTCTTTACCACATTTATCTTTGTATCATATATTTTGCTAAATGTGACTATCAGTCTCACATATTCTATGAAACTTTGAAGGACTATGTCAGTTATACATGCTAATAATTTCTAAACATTTTCTCTCATCAAAGAATATCGTTACATGTGACAGTAATTTTGCCCCTTTTTAATTGCTCTGAAATATTGCAGTGTAGTATAATGAAAAAATGGTAGATGTTTGGGTCAGATAAATGAGGGTCAAACCATAGCTCTAACCTTCTGTGTTCATTGTGCAACCTTGGGTGTGCTTGTGTATATGAGAGGGTGCTCTAAGCAGCATTTCCAGGGAATTATAAACATAGCTGTGCCTTTTGGATAGAACAGTAATGACTGGCATTGAGATGACCACCAGCAAATTCCATTTGACATTAAAGATAATTTGAACTCACCTAGTTTTCTATGCTAATGGTAAGTGGAAATTTTCTTTCCAATAAGATGATATGTTGATATTTTCGTAACAGTGAAAGTCGAGATGTGCTAGATATACTAGAAGGAATGACAACTTTTCTAGTTATTCATATCAACAGAGACTTGGCCTAGGACCTTCACAGTCCTAAAGTGACCCATCTTAAGGCTATGGTATAATAGCCATAAAATCCACAACAGAAAGACAATGACAATTAATGGTAATGCTATTTTCAACACTGGCTGTCTACTTTTTTCAAAATACATATATCTCATGCTACTTGAAGTATAATTGTATACTTGTTATCAATCACTGTATGCAGATACTCTCAAAATTAAGAGAAATGCTTACGAATTTTCCAATTTTGTTTTTCTATGTCCAAAATAATTGTAAATTGAAACTTTTCTTTTTAAAAATCACTATTGAACCATGTATATTTTTATTCTTTT